TTATAAAATATGAAAAAGAAATGACTTTTATAAGAGGGTAAAATGAATGTGAGCTGACTTAAGATAAAAGAGCACTTATGCCAAGTTAGATGGAGGACAAATTGTGAGTGTAAGGGGTAGGAACATGGCATAGTGTGAGAGAAAATAAAGTTTACAACAACAGAAATAAAGCTTAGGAAGATGGTGAAATGGATTAAGAGCAGGGAAAGCTGCTGAGTGGGATTTGGAATAAGAATAATATGATAAAAATATATATTCCGAATAAAATAATAAAAAGTAAAAGACAAAGAGTAGTGAGTCATTTGGACTATGAGTGAAATGAAAGAAGAAAAGCAAAATGCAATATGAAAGGAAAACAAACAACCAAACAAAAAGCTAAAAAAAAAACATGAAAAGAAGAGAAGTGAAAAAAAAAAACCACATGTGAGTTATAATGAACAGTAAGATGAAATTTGTCTCAGCTGTTGGTGTTCTCCTTTTGACTTCTTTCTGGATATGTCTCTGCCTTTCTTTCAACTCCAGGTCTTACTGTGTTATTTTTGAAAGAAAAAGAAAAAAAAAAGCACCCCCCCTGCTCCTGCTTGTTGTTAAGGCCACCTAGTTGGTTTTTCAGGTTTCTGGGCTCCTGCATGCAGTGGAGTGTTGGGCTGCATCTGTTTTCCCTCTCTGATGCTTTGGCAAGCACGGGGGCTCAGTCTGGGCTCTAATAATCATAGGTACCCAATTTCTAGCCCATGTCTTCAGAGCACTGTGTGGCCTGCACTCTCAACTCTGTGGAGTTGCAGCAGGGTGGACCAGATAAACCACCTCGCTTTGCACTCCCTTGATTGATCTGTGAGGTCCACTGAGTGGAAGCAAATTGTGTCCACAGTCCTCCCTCCTTTTTGGCCAGGCAGCTGCATGTGTGAGGTGCCTTCCCAGTACGCCTCAGTTCCACTTTTGAAAAAAAGTCTCAGTTGGCCCTGCTGCCTCACCGCACTACTACCCGGCTATCCACACATTCCAACTCTCTGGCAAGTACAGAGTCTATCTGGGTCATGGCCAGTTGTGGCCCACCTCTTTTCCCAGCTCCAGGTGCAGTTTGATCTCCTAAATTCTCAGGTACCCTCTTGGGCCTGCAACAACCACCCTAGCTTGGGTATGCCCCTGGCTATGTGTGGTTTGGCTGCCTTTTTTCCCCTACCCCCAGTGACTATGTGTCCAGGTATCTCCTGGCATGCCTCTGGGATTTCCCCACCCTGTGAGGGGAGGAGGCTGCTTAAACTGCTGTCACTGAACAGGCTCTCCTCCAGTGTCCCTGGGTAGGAGTGGTTACTGGTGCTATGTCCAGGGACCTTCTCTGTTGACCTACAAAAACTTTTTATCACCCATTTTGAAGTGTTCTCTGCACACTGGCTTTGAGACTTCATATCAGCTAAGATTCTGTTGGCTGTTTACTTTGTTTTTTGGAAGATTCGCTAAGTGTCCCAGTTGGGTGCATGAGCAAGTGGGCTCAGCTCCCACCTACTTTTCCACCATCTTCTCTCCTGTCCCTTTAGCATTTCTTATAGGGCAAGTCTAGTGGTTAAGAATTCCCTTAATTTTTATCTTTTTGGGAAAGTATTTATCTTTCCTTCATTTCTGAATGACTATCTAGATATTCTTTGTTGAAAGTTCTTTCTTTGAGCACTTTGAATAGGCCATCCCCTCTCTCCTGGCCTATAGGTTGATGGTAAGAAATCTGCTTATAGCCTTATTGGGATTCTCTTGTGTGTAATCTTGTTTTTCTTAATGTTTTTAAGATTCTTTCTTGGTCTTTGATTTTTGAGAGCTTTATTATAAGGTGTTTCAGTGAAGATATTTTTGTTTTGAAATTGTTTAGGAATCCTTGATCTTTCAGTAGTGGAATAGCCATATCCCTCCCCAAATTTGGAAAGTTTTCAAGCATTATTTTTTTATTATTTAGTTACAGTTGTACTGCATTTTCTTCCATTACTTTCCTCTACCCCATGCCCCAACTCCCACAGTCAAAACACTCCATTGGCTATTTCCATGAGTCCTTTATTCTTGATCCTTTGTTTGTCCTTTCCCCTTCTTTTTTTCCATTATCTTCCTCACCTTTTTTCTCTGGTCACTGTCAGCTTGTTGTTTATTTCAAAGTATCTGGTTCCTTTTTCTTGTTTGTTTGTTGATTAAGTTCCACTTATGGTGAGATCATATGGTGTTTGTCTTTAACTGCCTGTCTTATTTTACTTAGCATAATGCTCTGCAGGTATATCCATACTGTTGTGAAGGGTAAGAGTTCCATCCTTTCTGCTGCATAGTATTCCACTGTGTAAACGTACCACGGTTTTTTGATCCACTCATTTACTGATGGGCACTTAGGCTGTTTCCAGCACTTGCCTATTATAAATAATGCTTCTATGAACATTAGGGTACATAGGTTATTTTGAATTGGTGTTTCAGGATTCTTAAGGTATAGTACCAATAGTGGGATTACTGGATCAAAGCCAGTTCCATCTTTAGGTTTTTTGAGGCAATTCCCTACTGTTTTCCACAGTGGCTGCACCAGTCTGCATTCCCACCAACAGAGTACTAGGGTTCCCTTTTCTCCACAACTTTTCCAGCACTTGTTGTTTGTAGGTTTATTAATGATGGCCTTTCTGACCAGTGTGAAGTGATATCTCATTGTGGTTTTAATTTGCATCTCTCTGATGTCTAGTGATGCTGAGCATCCTTTCATATGTCTATGGAACCTTTGTATGTCATCCTTGGAGAAGTGTGTGTTCAGGTCCTTTGCCGACTTTTTAACTGGATTGTTTGTCTTCCTGGTGTGGAGGCATGTGAGTTCTTTATATATTTTGGAAATCAAACCCTTCTCTGAGGTATCACTAGCAGATGTGTTTTCCCATTTGCAATAGCCACATGCTGGAAACAGCCTAAGTGCCCTTCAGTAAATGAGTGGATCATAAAACTGTGGTACATTTACACAGTGGAATGCCACACAGCAGTAAGAGAGATTGAACTCCTACCTTTTGTGACAGCATAGATAGAACTATAGAGTATTATGCTAAGTGAAATAAGCCCAGTAGTGAAAGGCAAATAGCATAAGATCTCACCTATAAGTGGAAGCTAATGAACAAAATAATTAAGTGAGCAAAGTAAATCCAGAGGCATGGAAACAAGGAACACACTGAGAGTGACCAGAGTGTAGAGCAAAGGGGATAAGAAAGGAAGGAGGAAGAAGGGCCTAGTTAAAGAACAAGTATAAATGACCCATGGGCATGGGAAAAAGGTTGGGGATTGACTGTGGGAGCAGTGGGTGGGCAGGGCAGCTGAGAGTGATGGGGGGAAATCGAGACAATTGTAATAGAACAACAATACAAAAATATACACAAAAATTCAGTCAGAAATGAAGAGTACACTAATTGACATAAAGAACAATTTACAAGGAATCAACAGGTGAATGGATGAATCTGAGAATCAAATCAGTGATTTGCTACATAAGGAAGCAAAAAAAAAGAACAGCAAAAAGAGAAAAAAGAATTAAAAAAATGAGGATAGTGTAAGAAGTCTCTGGGACAAAGTCTAGTATACCACCATTCGCATTATGGGGGTGCCAGAAAGAAAAGAGAGAAAGCAAGATGTTGGAAATCTACTTGAAGAAATAATGAAACTAAACTTCCCTGAGTTGGTGAAGGAAATAGACATACAGGTCCAAGAAGCAAAGATAGTCCAAAACAAGATGAACCCAAAGAGGTGCACATCAAGACACACATCATATAATTAAAATGCCAAAGTTAAAGACAAAGAGTGAATCTTAAAAGCACCAAGAGAAAAGCAGTTAGTTACCTAAGGGAGCTCCCATGAGACTGCCAGTTGATTTCTCAAAAGAAATTTTGCAGGCTAGAAGGGACTGGCAAGAAATAATCAATGTGATGAAAGGCAAGAACCTACAACCAATATTACTCTACCTTGCAAAGCTATCATCTAGAATTGAAGGGCAGATAATGAGCTTCCTAGACAAGAAAAATCTAAAGGAGTTTGTCACCACCAAAACACTATTATATGAAATATTAAAGGGTCTTGTTAAATAAGAAGAAAGTTGAAACTATGAACAATAAAATGGCAATGAGTACATATCTATCAACAATTGAATATGAAAACCAAAACAAGCAGTCAGAACAGAAACAGAATCATAGATACAGAGAACATTTTGATGCCAAATGGAAGGGGAGTTGGGGTGATGGGCAAAAAAGATAATGGATTAAGAACTACAAATTGGTAATTACTGAATAGTCATGGGGATGAAAATTACAGCATAAGGAACAGAGTAGCCAAAAACATATATGCATGACCCATGAATATGGACAAGGGTGTGGGGATTGCCTGAGGGAGTTGGGGGAGTTGGTTAGAGTGGAGCAAAGTGGGGCAACTAGAACAACTATAATAGAATAAACAATAAAATATAATTAAAACAGAATCCTGGTAGCTTTAACATTTAATAGATTACTATTATTTTGTTTCTCTGTTTCCATAGGGTGAGAGGTAGATAGAGTAGATGCTGTTCAAAGATTTGTCTGGTTCTGTTGTTCAGCGAACCTCTGTTTCTCTAGGCTAGAGGAGGTATAAGTTCTTAGTAACAAAATTTTCCTTTTTTTAAATTTTGAGGTCCTTTCATTCATGTAACAAAATTTGCTAAATAAACTTTATGCCAGGTACAGTTTTCAGGGACATTCTGTCCAGGACTCCAGCTTGTTTTTCTTTACTGCTTTGTTGGGGCTGGGCCATTTGTTTGGTAAATCTCATGTCAATGTTACAGTAAGAGCTGAAGTACAGGACCACTATCTGCCTTCTACACAGGTAATAATTGTGACAAACAGGAAGTGCTTGCTGTTCTGGTTAAGATACAAGGCTATTTAATTAGCCCAGTCTATTGACTGAAATCTTCTTGAATTAAAGTGTTTAGACATGTAATTGTTTCCTATTATTTTTCATTTCTTTTTCTTCTACTGCCCCAGACTCTCTCCCAAGCATGCCCCAGATATTCCTGATGACAGCACTGACAACATCACTATCTTCACCAGAATCTTAGATCGTCTTCTGGATGGCTATGACAACCGGCTGCGACCTGGGCTTGGAGGTCAGTTACTATTTTAAGAAGTTCTACTTGGCCATTGTCATCTCAAAAGATTGTTAGAGTGCCTTTAGCAGTCTGAAGGTTAGTTAATATAAGCTGTCTCTTCCTTCTGAGTACTGGAGATCATTTCTAAACCTTTATTGTCAATTGTCAGTCTCTAATCTGGTTTTGAAAGTTTCTGAATTTCACTTAGTAAATGCATATAGGGTATTACAACACAGTGGCCAAGCCCATTACTGATAATGAAATACAAGTCTATGGCTGGATGTCAGATGGGGCCCAGGAACAGCTGGGAAACATACCTTGTTCTCAAAACCCTGAGCACATATCAGCTTGACACTGTAAATAGGAACAATCTGCTTTCTAAATTGGATCATAGTTGTCTATTGGTGTAGCATGATCAGCAATATTATCACAATGAGGCAAATGCATTATAATACATCATGGCTGTATTTAAAAGGCAACTATGCAAATGCATATAAGTTAACTTTTTTCCAGAACTACTTGAGATTTAGGTGCAGATATCATATCCCTTTCTCCATAAACACTTCAGTGTGTATTACTTTAGAAAAAATCTTTTATAAAATTGCAATGGGATTATAAATTCAGAAAGTGTAACCTGAAATAAACTATTTTCTAATTTGTAGTTCATATTAAATGTTTGTCAGTTATCTCCAAAGTTTTCCTTATAGGAGTTTTCCATGATATAGAATTCAGTACAGGATTATGTACTGCATTTATTTCACATTTTACTAATTTATAATCTGGTGTAGTTACTCAGTCTTCCTTTGCATTTTATGGCATTGATTTTATTTTCCTTACTCATTTTTGGAAGAAATACAAGAGTTAATTGTGCTTTTCTTGGTGCATTACTCAAAAGAGAGACATGATGTCTGTTTGCCCCATTGTAAGTACTATTAATTGTGATGTTCATCATGTTATTACACATAAAATTACCGTGATTTCAGTATATCATTAATAAATAATTTATGAGGCAGTACTTTAAGATTACTATATGATTGCAACCAATAGTCACAATAGATCTTTTTATTTTAGTGGTTGTTCACGTACAGTTTCCTGCCTCTTGCCCAAATCCCAGCCCACCCCCCAGACCTCTCCACCTCTTTCCTGTGTCTAGCACCCCCCTTGTTATTGTGCATGTGTCCTTTATACTTGTTCTGGCAAACCATTCACCCCTTCCCCCCGAAATTCCCTCACCTCTCCCCTCCAGTCACTATCAGAGAGATGCAAATTAAAACTACAATGAAATACCAGTTTACACCAGTCAGAATGGCTATCATAAACAAAGCAACAAACAACAAATGTTGGAAAGGTTGTGGGGAAAAGGGGTCCCTAGTTCACTGTTGGTGGGAATGCAGACTGGGATAACCATTATGGAAAACAGTATGGAATTTTCTAAGAAAACTAAAAATGGACCTGCCTTATGACCCAGCAATTCCATTGCTGGGATTATATCCTAACAACCCTAAAACACCAATCCAAAAGAACCTATGAACCCCAATGTTCATAGCAGCACAATTTACAATAGCCAAGAGCTGGAAGCAACCTAGGTGCCCATCAGTAAATGAATGTATCAAAAATTTATGGTACATATACACAATGGAATTCTATGCAGCAGAAAGAAAGAAGGAGCTCCTACCCTTTGCAATAGCCTGGATGGAACTGGAAAGCATTATGCTGAGTGAAATAAGCCAGGCAGTGAAAGACAAATACCATATGATCTCACCTTTAACAGGAAGCTAAACAACAAAACAAACAAGCAAGCAAAATAAAAACACCAACACTGATGTAGGACATTGTTTAATGGCACAATGTCTTTTGTTGATATTTTGTTTGGAATATCTATCCATTTTTGACAGTGGGGTGTTAAAAGCCCCTACTATAATTGTGTTGCTGTCAATATCTTTCTTGAAGTACTCTAAAATTTTCATGATGTATTTAGGTCCTCCTATGTTGGGTACATATATATTTACAGTGTTTCTGTCTTCTTGGTGGATTATTCCCTTGAATATTATGAAGTGACCTTCTGGGTCTCTCTTTATGGCCCTTTTTTTGAAGTCTATTTTGTCTGATATGAGTATTGCTACCCAGCTTTCTTTTCCTATCCATTTTCTTGGAAAATTTGTTTCCTACCCTTCACTTTTAGTCTGTGTAGGTCTTTTATCCTGAGGTTATTCTCCTGTAGGCAGCATATATGTGGATCATGCTTTCTTATCCATTCAGCTCTTCTGTGCCTTTTGATTGGAGCATTTAATTCATTTACATTTAAGGTTATTATTGATAGGTACTTATTCATTGCCACTTTTTTGTACCTGTGTTCCTCTCTGTCTCTCTTTTCCTTCCTTTTTAAAAAATAGTCCCTTTAGCTTCTCTTGCAGAGCTGGTTTGGTGGAGGTGTATTTTAATAGACTTCTTTTGTCTCTGAAGCTTCTTATTTGGCCTTCTATTGATTGAGAACCTTGCTGGGTAAAGTAGCCTTGGTTGCAGGCCTCTGGTTCTCATTACTTGGAATATTTCTTGCCATTCTCTTCTTGCTTGGGGTGTTTCCATTGAGAAGTCAGCTGTAGTGTTGTTGGGGCTCCCTTGTATGTTACTTCCTGTTTCTCCCTTGTTGCTTTTAAGAATCTTTGTCTTGGAATTTTGCCATTTTAATGATGATGTGTCTTGAAGTGGGCCTCTTTGGGTTCTTGATCGGGACTCTATGTGTTCTGGATTTGTGTAAGTTTTTCTCTCATCAAATTAGGGAAGTTTTTCACCATTACTTTTTCAAACAGGTTTTCTATGCTTTGCTCTTCTTCTCCTCTGGTATCCCTATTATATGGATGTTATTATGTTTCACATTGTCCTGCATTTCCCTCAATCCCTTTTCATTTATTCTGAGCCTCTTTTTCTTTAGTTGCTCTTTCTGGGTGTTATTTTCTACCTTGTCCTCCAGTTCACTGATCTGATCTTCTGCTTCATCGATCCTGCCTTTGATTCCTTCCCCTGTGTTCTTCAGTTTAGAAATTGTATCTTCATTTCCTCCTGGCCCTTGTTCATAGTTTCTGTTTCCTTTTCATGGTGATATAATTTGCAGTGAGTTCATTGTAGTTTCCCTGTAGTTTCTGGTAATTGTCCATGAGCTCATGGAGCTTCCTGATAACCATTGCTTTGAATTCAATATCTGATAGCTGAGTTGCCTCTATTTTATTTAGCTTTGTTTCTGAGGCTCCCTTCTTTCCTTGCATTTGGGGATTGCTTCTTTGTCCTCCCATTATTTGTGAAACTCTTCTTTTTAGCTTCTGCTTCTTAAATTGATCTATTGTGACTCCCTGGGTTTATGGTGTGAACTTCTATAGTAGAATACCTGTAGGATTCAGCAGTGCATTCTCCTTAATCTCTTGAGCTTGCTGTTCTTGGGCTGTCATGTATATTGTCTCTCTCTATGTCTTTGTATTTTGATTGTTGTTGAATCTTTGTTTTTTGGGTCCTTCTCTCCAGCTAATTACTGAGGATCTCTCAATCCACCATGTCTTGTATTCTATAGTGTAGGTCTGTACAAGTTGTGTTGAAGTTGGTTCTTCTCTGTGTACAAGGTTTTCAGGCTTATGTCTTGCTCTTGTTCAGTTGTTTGTTGTGGGTAATTTCTCCATTTTTTTGTTGTATTTGTGGGTTAGTCCTGCACTGAGGTTATTTTGGCTTCCACTCCCTCCTTCAACTTCTTCCATTGTTATCAGTTGGTGATTCCTCTGTTCATGGGTTTCCCCTCTAGTAAGTGTACTGGTGTTCACCTCTCCCAACTTGTAAGTTCTCTGTAGTAGCAAAGTGAAATTTGTCTCACTGTCTCTGTTGTTGGGATGACCCCTGTTGGTGTCTAACTGTGGTCTTTTCTCCACTCTGGGTATTATTGTTTTACCTGTGAGAAAAGAAGAAATAAAAAAGGAAAGGAAGGAAGGAAGGGAAAGAAAGAGAGACAAAGAAAGAAAGAAAGAAAGAAAGAAAGAAAGAAAGAAAGAAAGAAAGAAAGAAAGAAAGAAAGAAGGAAGGAAGGAAGGAAGGAAGGAAGGAAGGAAGGAAGGAAGGAAGGAAGGAAGAAAGAAAGAAAGAAAGAAAGAAAGAAAGAAAGAAAGAAAGAAAGAAAGAAAGAAAGAAAGGAAGGAAGAAAGAGAGAGAGAAGGAAGGAAGGAAAGAAAGAAAGAAAGAAAGAAAGAAAGAAAGAAAGAAAGAAAGAAAGAAAGAGAGAAAGAAAGAGAGAAAGAAAGAAAGAAGAAAGAATTTTTAGAAAATCCTTCTGCCGGCTTTAAACCGGTCAGACCAGTTCTGCTGCTGGTCTTACTGGTCAGGCTGAGGAGGGATTGGTTTCACCTTTCTCCCTTCCTGAGCTTTCTTCTCTACTGTGTTCCAGCTTCCAGCCCAGTTCTTCAGTGCCCTTCTGCACTCAGCCTAGGCCTTTGGTCCACCAGTTGCACTGTCCTTGAGGTGCACCAATTAGGGGAAACTCACACACCACCTTCTTGCTTGTTGCTGTCCTAGATGCTAGGGACTCTCAGTGTCCCTTCAGGGTAGTTCAGCCCCACACTGAGTCAAGTCTTTTCCAGGACTGCAGCTCCCCTCTTCAAGGCTTTTCCTCCTTCCTCCTAGAGAGCCAGTTGGCTCTGTAGGGCCCTGGCCTCAGGGGCCAGGTGGGAGGTACTCTGTTCTTGGTGTCTCTGTCATGAGCATAGACAGGCAGCTGCAGACCTTGGACCAGGTACGCACTGTTTGTAGTGCTTTTGGTGGGGGCACAACTGGCCACTGCCAGGCCGTAGACTGTGTGCACACTATCTCAGTGCTTCTGGAGTGAGTCTAGATCCAATAGTTTTTTTAAGTTATATTTATTTTTGATTCCTTTATTGTTGTTCTACTACAGTTGTCTCCATTTTCACCATACCATGCTCCCATGCCCCACCCATCCCTGCCTCCCACCCTGGAATCTACCCCTTTTGGCTTTGTCCATGTGTCCT